CTCCTAAACTGTGAGCACGGTTGCTCTGGCTGCTGTGTACACCGGGCAAGGAGAACACTTCCTGGCATTCAAACAACAAACAGATGGAGGCAGACGCTGCCCCTGGTAGTTAATAGTCAGTTGCTGGCCATCCCAGCAGACAGCTCTAAACTGAGAATCACAGTTGAAAGAGAGAGAAAAAAATTAAAAAACGGTTTTTTTGACTCTTGATGTACCTCTTTTGTTGAATGATGATGATGTACCCCTTGGGGTGGACGTGCACCCATTGGGGTACATCAAATGACGATGATGTACCTTTTGGGGTGGACTGCACCCCTTGCGTGGACGTTCCCCACTTAAGATGGACGTGAACCACCTGGCGTACAGCCGGAGAGGGTGCTGTCCTCCGTGGGGGTGTGCCCGAGCTGATTTAATCAGCTCCTTGGCTCACGTGATTCCTGTTGTTAAATCAGCCCCATACATCAAGTCGATCAGCACCATTTATCACGTGACTCCCACGTTAAACCAGCCAGCGAATCATTTGACTCCCACTGATTAAATGTCTCCATGAGTCACGTGGTTCTCGCTGATTAAACCGGCTCCCTTAAATATCGTGACCCCCACTAAATCAATCGTCCTTCTTAAATCTCTTGGCGTTCATTAAACCAATCAAACGCCTTAGATTTCCTGGCCCCCATTAAATCAACCTGCCTTCTTACGTCTCGGGGCATCCATTAAGGATGTTTGATTTAATTAGGATCACCATATTTACGAAGGCAGATTGACTCAACGGGAGTGCTGTCCCACGTGAGGGGTGCTCAGGCGCCCCTTGGGGGACCGTGCACCCCCCGGTGTACATCAAATGGTGATGACGTACCCCTTGGGATGCACTGCACCCCCTGATGTACAGCCAAGGAGGTGCTGTCCCCTTGGGGGGGTGGACATGCGCCCCGTGGGGCAAGAACCTTGACACTTTATCGTGACAATATTTACCACACTGAGTTGAAGCTAAGCTTTTTTCTCGTGTTGTTTCATAGTCACTCCTTCTTCCCCCTTTTACTCTTCGTTATAGAGGGTCTATGAAAAAAATGATGCTTATCGTATTTAACCCCTGGTCATTCACCCGCTACTGCTTAACCCATTAGATGGCATTTCTGGCAAGACAAATTACTAAAGTCTTAATAGTATTTCAACTTTCCTTTTTGGTTGACTGTGAATTAGCAAAACGTGCCCTTGTGTTCATAAAAGACAATCTGAACATGGAAAAACAAATTTAAAATGTCTTACCTTGAAGCTTTACTGATTTGGGTGACACTTACCTCCTTAGGAAAGGCTCATGTTCAGAACCAACAAGACAACACCTTAGAATTTAAAAATCAAAAAAGCAGGAACTTCCCTGGTGGACAGTGGTTAATAATCCACCTGCCAATGCAGGGGACATGGGTTCGAGCCCTGGTCTGGGATGACCCCACGTGCTGTGGAGCAACTAAGCCCGTGTGCCACAACTACTGAGCCCACATGCCACAACTACTGAAGCCCGTGCACCTAAAGCCCGTGCTCCGCAACAAGAGAAGCCACCGCAATGAGAAGCCACAGCAAAGAGTAGCCCACGTTCGCTGCCAACTAGAGAAAGCCGGGGCACAGCAACGAAGACGAAGACCCAACGCAGCCAAAAATAAAAATTTTTTTAAAAAACCAAAAAACTAAAAGGTAGAATTCATTTTTTAAAAATTGTAACTTATCAATCTTTAAGAGCGAGAAAGCTACCATGGATTACACCTTAAGTGACAGCTGATTTACTGGGGCTTCTATTTAATAACTAAAAAGGAATTAAAAATCACATGTTGCCAGCATCTATTTTTTTTTAATTATTATTTTTTTTTTTTGCGGTACGCGGGCCTCTCACTGTTGTGGCCTCTCCCGTTGCGGAGCACAGGCTCCGGACGCACAGGGTCAGCAGCCATGGCTCACGGGCCCAGCTGCTCCGCAGCATGTGGGATCTTCATGGACTGGGGCATGAACCCGGGTC